GGGGAATTGCAGGAGGCGGCACGGGAGGTGGAGCGGGGTTCCCGGGGTGCTGCAGGTTCCTGGAGCGCCCCTGAAGGGGCTCACTGGGACTGGCGCAGGGCCGCAGCGGTCCCAGCTCTGGTGTTTGGGAGGTTCAGTGTTGCTGGTGAAGGGGTGAAGGGCTTTTTCCCTCAAGATTGTGACCTGAATTGAGGTTTTGGTCTGGCCTTGAAACTGGGTCGAAGCTCTTGTAAGCAGTGTGGCACCTCATGTGTGAGCAGGGGTTGCGCTCAGTAGCAAGCTCTTGGAGGCGATGTCCCCCTTGCCATGGAGCTTTGTAGCTCCAGGGATCTCCATGTGTTGGGTCTGTGCAAAACTAAGGCCAGTACGATACTCTGGGTGTTTCACAGGGGCTGTTTCCTTTCAGACACTTGCACAGCTCGGGTTTTTTCTGCCTTTGTTTGTAACAGAACTGGTGCTCCCTAAGGAAAACCAGAGTTTTGATAGGAGAGTCTAAACACAGGTGGAGCTCGGCTGGTGCACCTCTGAGGAGGTGAAGGCTCCTTGTAGTGTCTTGCCTTTAGCTAAAGGCTGTTTTTTGCAGAGCCTGGGGTCAGGCTCATGGACTGAGCCTAGAGGTATGGGATGGCTGGGTTTGTTGTGTTCGTTCTCAGTTCATACTGTTGGAATCTGCTGTTGCGAAATCTGTGATCTATTCTAGATTTAGATGTCTCAATGGACACCTGGAGCTTCTTCTCTACTTGCCTGGTGTCCTTATGGCTGCACAGGCTTTATGTCTACTCTGCAGTTGCTTTTGGGATCAGCATTTGGATCATCATTCAGTTCTCCACTTCCAAACACCAGAAGAAGGTGTGTAAGTCCTTTGTCTGAGAAGAGCCCAAAAATCTGTGTGTGGAAGCAAGTAGTTGCTGGGGAAAGGCAGTCACTGGTGCAGTGAAATGTGCTACTCCACTGTGGGCCCACCAGGGTTGTTGCACATGCCAACTGTAGTTCAGTGTGTCTGATGGTTATAGTCCTCAGTCTGGGTTGTCTGATGTTCGTGGGTAACTGAATTCCCTCATTGATCTGATGTTACAGCAGAACTCAGCTGAACACTTCCCATTTTTTATTGGAGTGTGTCAGCCTGGGTTGCTCTGTCACAAAAGGCAAATCACTCTGCTTCTGCACAGTGTTTTCACGTTTTCTGTGATGTTAATGACAAGTCTGGGCTGGTTTTTGGGACAAGAGTGGGATTAGGCCACTCGGGAATTTAAATCCTCCTCGTGCAGGTGTGTGAAGTTCTGCTGCATGAGTTGGGAAGTTCTTGGCTTCAGCTAGAGCCCGTTATCTCTGTGGTGTGCGAGATGAGTGTGTTACAGTGTGGCGTAGTTCAGAGAAAGCTACTTTTGTGTTTCTCTAGGGGTGACAGACACTCAGATGCTTTGTTCCTTTTGCATAGTGCTGAGAGTCTGGTCACAGGACTGGAATGTTCAATGCTTTTGGGAAAAACGGGATTACCATCACTTTGAAAACAGACGGAATATGACACAGCACTTGTTTCACAGGGTGAAAAACCCACCAGGAATTCCGCTTCTTCTGAAGGGGTAGAAGATAAACTAGTCAATGGATGTGCCACCCTGCAGGCAAAGGAGGTCTATGTTGCTGGGGTAAAGATTTTCTATGGGTCTCAGACTGGCACGGCAAAGGTATGAGTTACTTTTTTCCATGTGCATGACATTGAGTTGAAATGTTGTTGAGATTCGAGTATGTTGCTTGCCTTAGAAACACTACACTGTGTAAAAATCAGAGTTCATTAGGTCATGAGAAGTCATTGCCCAACGTGAAAGGTAAGTGAAAAGTATATAAAAATAACAGATTTACTACTGCCTTTATGTGGGTATGCAGTGGAGACATTATTATTATGAAGCTTAAAGTTTGCTCTTAAAATATTATGGAATCCCAGAGTTGTTTGGGTTGGAAGGGACCTTAGAGCTTATCCAACTCCAACCCCCTGCCACAGGCAGGGACACCTTCCACTAGAGCAGGTTGCTCCAAGCCCTGTCCAACCTGACCTCGAATATACTCTTAATTTGCTAGGTGGTCTCCTTAGAGAGAAGTGCTGTTTCAGGCGCTTTCTCAAAAAGAAATTTCATTTGTGTGTGTAAATATAAAATCACTAATCATAAAATTCATATGATTCTCTTTTGAGCCAATATACTACAATTTTATTTTTTTTTTTTTTCTTAATGTGAGGAATGAGTCCAGTGCCCAGTTCTCCTGTGTTATTGTACTTGCTGTGCTGGGAGAAGTCTTGTCTCTGGGCACAGCAGGGCTTGTTTGACCCTTATGGTACCTGGGTTGGAGCACTTGGTAACTTTCTATGTTTCTTTTTTCAGAGATTTGCCAGAGCTCTAGCTGAGGCAGTTATTTCCCTTAATGTGCCAGTGGAAGTCATTAGCATGGGAGACTATGATCCAGATGATTGTTTATTAGAGGAGGTAGGTACCTTGTAAATGGGAATAATAAATCCAAGCTTTTCTTGGGGTTGTGAAGGCTGTTTGCTTGTATTTCTCTCAAGTTATCCTGAAAATCCCCAAAGCTGTGCATTGAAACTTGCTTTCCTTCCATGGAAGCAAGTGCAGTCCATCAGCCCTCGGCAACAAATAGGTAAATGCTGAAAGTGCTGAGGAAAGGCTCGTGTAGGACATGTGATGCTGAGTGTGGCTTTGTACAAGCCAGTTCTGTAACTCAGGTGTGAGTAATGGACAGTGGCTGCACCAGGGACCCTGTTCTGTCTAAGACAGCGTACACCTGGGGAAGGGTTCAAAACTGGAATAAGTAGATGGTGATCCTTCTGCTGGTTTTAGACGTACAAACTTCTTGTGAGCAGTATTCATACTGGGTAATGCATGATGGATTTTACTTCTGTCAGTATTGATAGTTGCTTTTCTAATCTATGGGGGATGTTATCACTGCAAGAGTGTTGATTGGGGTGGGGAAGGTAGGTGTCCCGTTCTGTTTTACCACTCCATTAAGTAGGGGAAAGAGAGCCAGTTCTCTTTTGGTTAATTTAAGATAGCCTTGCAGGGAGGATGGCCATCCACCACTGTTGGGATTATCTCCTGCACATCCCACACCAAAAACTATTCACCCACTCAGCAAAAATCTCATCTTTTGGCTTCTTTCAGGTGTCCACGTGTTCCAGCTCTCTTCCTGAAGTGCTCAGAGAAATTGAGTGATCTTTTTTCTGTGTTCTATTTATGTTCTTAGACAACCAGCAGGAACATCTGTGTATTCTTGGTGGCTACATACACAGATGGGCAGCCAACCGAGAGTGCAGCCTGGTTCTGTAGGTGGTTAGAAGAGGCTGCGAATGACTTTCGCTTTGGGAAAGCCTATCTGAAGGGCCTGAGATATACTGTGTTTGGCTTGGGAAACTCTGTATATGTTGGTCATTACAACACAGTAAGTATCTCCTGTGCACCTTCCTTTGATTTCTGCTCCTCTGGAAGGTTGAGCTATCTTAAATGCTACATACCTGACAATTACTGGTAGTTTGTGTGAGAATTGGCCCAGAAAGCCAATGACATCCTGGGCTGCATCCAAAAGAGCATGGCCAGCAGGTTGAAGGAGGTGATTCTCCTCCTCTATTCTGTTTTGGTGAGACCTCCCCACTCTGTTGCATCCAGCTCTGGGGCAGCAACACATGGGATGCTGCACAGGCTGCAGCAGCTCTGCTCTGGAGATAGGCTGAGAGAGCTGAGCTTGTTCAGTCTGGAGAAGAGAAGGCTTCTTAAGGGGAGACCTTAGAGCAGCTTCCAGTGACTAAAGAGGCTGATGAGAAACCTGGAGAGGGGCTTTGGACAAGGGCCTGTAGGGACAGAACAAAGGGGAATGGCTTTAACCCAATGGACGGGAGATTGAGGTTGGCCATTAGGAAAAAAGTTCTTCCTTGTGAGTGTGGTGAGACACTGGCACAGGTTGCCCACAGAAGTGGGTATACGGCAGTATCTGAGCCTTGTAATGAGTTTTGTCTTGGTCAGAAAATTGGCATGACTTGTCACCTGGTTGTTATGTGGCCATTTTGACCAACAAATGTAGCATAAAGAAGCTTGTTTCCAGAGCTCACCTCTTATCACATGGGTGTGATAGCAAAGGTTTTTTCAAATCATAGAATACTTTGGGTTGAAGGGACCTTAAAGCTCATCCAGTTCCAACCCCCTGCTACAGGCAGGGACACCTTCCAGTACACCAGGTTGCTTCACGCTTGTGACACTGCCAGGGATGGGCACCCACAGCTTCTCTGGGCAACCTGTGCCAGGGCCTCATCACCCTCATAGGGAAGAATCGTTTTCCTAACATCTAATCCAGTAATGTCTAATCCAGATGTGGTGGTGTTCAGACTGTGTGTGCTCTGAGTCGGCAGGTGAGGGAGAGTCCAGAAGTCCCTGTCCTGCAGTCCTCTGCAACCCTCTTTCCAGGCTTGATCCTTGCTTTCTTAGTTGCTTGCTTTGTTTAACTTGGCCTTCATTTAATTTCCCTCTAACTTTGATCCTATCCCAGGTTGGAAGAAATATTGACAAGTGGCTGTGGATGCTCAGCGCCAGCCGGATCATGACTTGTGCTGAGGGGGACTGCAACGTGGCCCAGAGCAAGCATGGCACCATTGAGGCTGACTTTGAAGCCTGGAAAGCCAAGTTCCTCAGTCGTCTCCAGGCACTCTGCAGAGGGGAAAAGAAGCCCTGCAGTGGGAAGTGCAAGAAAGGGAAGTGTAAATCCCCAGGGAAGCAGAGCAAGGAGAGTTCAGATCATGAACATGGGGCATCGGAATATGAGAATACTGAGGTAAAGCCGAAATCCATCAGACCTTATTTCTGGTTTAGTGCCCCTTGGAGCACTGTTTGACTTCTCTCCTTTCTCCTACATCCCAGAGGGGTGCCGTGGGAGCTTGATACTTCTTTTTTCTGGAGCAGAGGGGGAAGAGAGATGAGATCCCATGATAGATAACAACTAGAGTAAGACACCCAAAAAGAAGGACCAATTATTAGTGATGGATGATGGACCTAGGCTAGGTGGCATATGTATGATGAGGGAGTATTCCTTTGGAGTAGGGTGAGGTATGTGTTGTAATAGATGCTCCAGGGAGCTAGTCTGGGTTCTCTTCAGAGCCTTTGCTTTGTCTCATGGCCAAGTTCACTTCACATTTACTTCCCTGTGAGCAGTTAACCTATTCCATTTCAACTTGGGGAAATCTAGGTGCTTTGCCTGCATCCCAAGGTTTTTCCAAAGGCAGCTGGGGGAGTGTTATCTGAGCAAGTCCTGTGTTTGCTCTGAATGTGTGTCTGTAATCATTTGTGTGTCTTCTGGAGTGTTCGTTGATTGCAGATTTGAATAAGAAATCCTCTCTCTTGGTCTACAGTGCAAGACCTAGAGCTGCTGTGGCACTTTAATCCTCCCAGCAAGACATTTGTTGTGGGTTGGAAATGACTGTGATGGCCATGTTGAATTTTGTAGGAAAACAAGGGCTTTTCTGTCTGAGTAGTTTTGAGGGTGCTGCCTGCTGCAGGAACAAGAGGAATAAATACTGCTGTTACGTGAGTGCTCTTCTGCTGTACCTCACCTGTGTACAAAAAGGGAGACGATGTTTCTGCTCTGTGAAGAGTTTGATTTGGAAAGCAGATTTCTCACTCCCTGTTCATCAGACGCCAAAGGGCACTTGGAGGAATTGAAGGGGTTTAGGCTTCCAGATGATTAGAGTACAGTGGGAGTCTGACTCCTGTGGTTGCCTCTCATGGGATCAGAAGGGCACATGAGGGAAATGGAGCTATCTGGAGGCAAGAAAGCTGGGCTGAGCTTCAGGCAGTCTGTGCTACTGAACTCTTAAACACACATTGAAGAAAGCCCCAGGTTTAAATGCATCTTGTACACATATGGGTTACTGGTAGACTGCTCCTTGTTTTTTGGCATCTTTGATGAGTGTGAGAGCTGATTTCACTGGTAGCATAGATGAAGGTCTAATGTTTAACATTCAGATACATTCCTCACTTTGATTTTTCTCTGATCTCTTACACAGGCAGAGGAGTTGTTTGAAACCAGTAGTGAGGAGGAGGCTGATGCTGAGGAAGCCAGAGAGACAAATTCTGTCATTGATGTTGAAGATCTTGGCAATATCATGAGGCACATGAAGAAAGCAAAGGTACCGCTGTTACAGCGAGTGTGGAACTATCGGGTCTTTGTCACTGATCAGTTGAACTGATTAAAATACACTTGCTGGGTTTGAATTGGTAGGGTCTAGTTAGTGGGAGAGTAAAATAGAAGCTATTGGAGAACCTGTCCCCAAATGAGAATATACTTGGAGGTGTGCTGTATATACTTACTAGCTAGCTGGGACTTGTTCACTTAGCAAATACTGCAGTGGTAACCTGTTATTGTCAGTCAGAGGGAAAATCACTTCCACTGTTCAGATCTGAATATCTATCTCTGTTGCTGTGATTCACAGTCCAGTGTCTAAAGACAAATCTTGTTACTGGATCTGCCCATGGGAGCTTGCTCTCAGCTGTGCCGAGCGTGGCAAAGACAACCATAATCTTCCTTTATTTCAGGGTGTTGCTGTCTCCCTTCCTTTGTGTTTCCATTTATGTTTCTTTTCCTGCATTCAGTCTGCAAACAGGATACACCAAATTAATTTATCTGGTTAGCACACAGGGAGGAGTGAGGATCCACATAGGTACTAGGCTAAGCCTTAGTGTGTTCCCCACACTTTTTGCTGGCTTGGCAGTTGGGATGGGAAGGGTCTGCCCCAGGATGGACCTGGGATACCCGTGTTGCCACCTGCTGACTATTTCCCCCTTAGCTTATTTCTGTGGTGGGGTATTTCCCTATGAATCCTTGAGCTGCTGTCCACCCCTTCCTCAACAAACCTACCTCTGGCTGTAACTGCACCTTCCTTATCTTGCATGCCTCTACACTGCGGGCTTCTCACAGCTTATTCCTGAAACTCCAGGCCTTGGATCACAGGAGGCTGCGTGCTCAGGAGGAGGGTATGGGATCTCTGTTCCTCACCTTAGGGAGGGCAAAGGAGGTAAAATCCTCCCCACTGCTTGTAACAAGCTCTGTGAGGAGAGTAGCTCCAGTGACTTGGGGAAGGGAGGCTGCTGTGCGAGAGCTCCTGCTCCTTGAACTTAAATGGACCCGGTGCACTGCAGCTTGCAGAAGAAAATTAACTGTTTGGAGGGAGAAGGGCTCAATCTCTCTCTGTGTGGCTGTGCTGTGGTTATTTCTCCTCTCCTGCCTGCCAGAGGTCAGTGACAAAAGAGGAACTGCGTTTTCTGTAGCTCCACGCCCTGGGAGCTGAGCGAGGTCAGGGGAGGGGAGGTGGTGCTGTTCAGCAGCTCTATGAAAAATCCGACACTCAGTTTTCACTGACTGAAATCTGCCATCACAGTGATCACAGAGTAGTGTCAACCAAGTTTCTCCATGTAGATCATGTCCTCGTGGCTTTGCCCTAAGCAGCCGCTCTAATCTTGAGGGGAGCTTCTGCCAAGCACAGATACTCATCTGCAGTGGTGGGCTGCAGTTTCTGATCTGATGGCAAATGGTTGTTCTGCCATAACACCTGGATGCTGCCCTCTTAACTCTGCAAATGGTGAAATCCTGAGAGTGCAGGTGTTGTGAGTGCAGAATGCTGAACAAATAATAGGTACTTTATAGCTCTGCCTTTGAGGGAAGTTCTGCTGTGTTACAGAAAGCAATGAAATCCTGCCTAAAAATTCAGCAGAGTAAAAGGAAGTAGAAGGTAGAAACAGCTTGGACCACATTGTGTTACTGGTCATTAGAAAGCACCTTCCTGAACAACCTCTCTGAAAGTGTGAGCAGAGTTTTGTTCAAGATGAGTAAGGAAGGTCCCTAAATGGTCTACTCTCCTATTTCCTTTTCAAGTGCTTATTAGGAACTGTTTTGTCCTTGAACCTCTGAGTCTCTGG